TAAACAACAAAGAGGATTTTCACATTTTTTAATATCAAGGGAATATTGACAAATTTTAGTGTGATTTTCTAGCCATTACCAGGGTACAATCAATTCATCGGTATCTTCTTTATCACATCTAGAAAATATGATATTACCGAATGGAGAGCTTTTTTGATCAATATATTGTGTTGTAACCGGTCTTCCAAAGATAGGATCACGATTCCAAAGAGCACACAAAGCTTTACCAGCATAATGCATATTCTTCATTGCAAGCTCTAAGTTAACTACTTGGCCTTGAGAGTTAAAATGGGAACCATGTTTATCAATTGGCAATGTGATGCCAGCTAGCTTTTGAGAGAGCATTGCTATACTATGCTCAATGGGGTTGTATGCTAATTGACCGGATGCATGCGTTCGAATAAAAAGATAATCAATCAAACACACAGAATATTCTACAATATTAAAAGACATTCTTCATGTGGCGGGGATTTTCATTTGGGCCTCCGTCAACTAAAAGAATCCAAATAGGTTTAATTTGACCGTCAACTTTTAGTACCTCATCCAAATAACTGTTTTTTGTTAATGAATTTAGATCACTCATATGAGAGGTTGAGCTTGTGCCAATTTGGTATTGTGGGCATATGAAAATTGAAAGTTGGTTATTACGAAAAGTGTCATTTGTATCACTTGGATTAATGAGTAAATAGACCGATGGGATAAGCTTTTGCTGCATTCCAATCAGAAAATCGTGATCGGGTAATGTAACTGATTCTCGAAGACTTTGCATTGTTTGAAAAGTTCTTCCAACTGCGGGGATGCCAAGAGGAATTTTGGCTTTGTCATCCTGAGAAATAATAACAGAATGAGTTGGGAATAAGGCAGCGAATTGGTTTGCTCCTTTTATAGAAGCAAAGCAATAATGCTCATCAGGGTGTTCCTTTTTTTCATCTCGAGAAACAGATGCAATTACTATATTAACCGGATGGTGATGAGCCTTTAATGCTATAGAATTTGATCGAAATGGCAACAGGTAATTACTGAGAGTGGTGTGAGAAAGATATTCATTATATTTTGAATTGAGTTCTTCTTGGAGATGACGGATGGTCCTAACTTTGACCTCTTTTCTTCTTTTTTTATCTGCAGCTCCAAACTCAATATATTCATGTATGTGTTCATGTAAATCAGGATATTGAATTAGAAAAAGCAGACGACCAGGTGAATCGTATTTTATTACTTCTTGATTTTCATGTAGGAGTTTTGCTTTTTTTCCCCTACTTTTACATTGATAACCTGCCTGACGCTTCAATTTCTTGATTTTATTATCTTCATTATGTAAAATTTCCTTGAGACTTGCTATGTGCTCCATTAAATTACATTGAATTTCTATATCATTAGTAGAATTATAAAGACGCTGAAGATCTGCAAGTTTTATACTAGTTGTATTGATAGTTTCCATGGCTTTTTTCTGTGCAGCAGCATTGGGAGGTGGATTGGCATCAACTATAATAATCTCTTCCATTGGCTTTTGAAAGGCCTGTATGATTTGGGTAGACTTTAAGCTTTGAGATAAGCCAGCTCGTGAACGATTAGTTTGCAAAAAGCCTTGAATTAAAATTGGAGTTTTCAGATATTCTTAGATTTTATTTTCGATTTCTTTTTGAGGTTTATGCTAAATCTCCTTCCACGCGTTAGTATATTCTGTACATAGGCTAATTTTTGGATAAATAGGATTTTTTGCATTCACCATACGCTGATAACCAAAAGTATTACAAAATCTCTGATGTTGATTTGTAGGAGTTTTATAAATATAAAACTTGTTGTATTTTGGTGTAATTAGAAAAGCTTGCATGCTAAGGTTTTGGATAAAGAAATCAAGAAGTGGTGATCAAAGACACGATTAATACTACATTTATAGACGTGACGATTGTATATGATCAAATTTAGTTATATTAAAAATTAAGACTGACAATAAGTCACGTGCATGCAGTTGTGAAAGATATGGTGGAATTATAAACTAATGTTACAAGGTAATATTTTTTTATTGATACATACTAACATGAAAATAATATGAATCATCACTCAAGTTTATTATTTTATAAAATT